AACGTACTCTACAGAGATGGGGTGTTTCACAAGATTGCTTGTTTATCCTTGCGATAGAATTGCTTCATAAGTTTGCCCGTCCCAGACCGTACCCACCTGTGGCCTACATGGGTAAAGCAGAAGGGGATAGCTGCCTGTCCCTGCAATGCTTTCTGTTGAATAAATTGGTATGGTCTGTTTTTCAAAATAGGGTTTTGTGGTCACCAATTGCACCTCATTTTACCCCTCACCCCATTTTCTTCTAGTGAAGTTTGAAAGTCCTTACCACTTTTCAGTTCGAAGCTGCTGAAATGGTGGACCATAGAGCCATCCTCCTGAATGGGTTAATGATTATAAAACCATTTAATTTACCCCATCGATTGGGATTCCTCATCCTACCCCCCACATGGACGTCGGTTCCCAGTAGCCGGCATTTGGATTTAGAGTAGAACTAATCAACATAAGTCTTCACACATATATTACAGATGTCTATATTCCTCCCTCATTTATACTCCATCATTGTTGTGGGTCACAGTGGAGGTAATTGTGGATTGTTACTGTTCTTTCCCTTCCACTATCCCCTGATGTTTTTTATTCTGAGGATGTTAATTTGCTTGGGGTGGTTCTGGTCAATTTCACTTTTGAGGGAGATGGTCTACATTATGTAACCTCTTTTCGATACCTGATGTTGGGTTCCCAGATCGATCTATGAATTTATCATATTCACATGTGCCTTGTTCATGAGTTGGGGGTACTAGATTCCCTCCGGTCTTATGAACTTGAGGTGAAGATGGTACGATCCTCTTTCCTATCCCCGAGGATGGCATGGGTTTTGGATTGTAGTCGACTTGCTGGTGGTATGATTCTCTTTCCTACCCCCACGTAGATGTCAGTACCCAACAGCTGGGTTTTGGGTTGTAGTTGACTTACCGACGGTATGATCCTCATCTTACACCTGTGTGGATGTTGGTTCTCAACGGCATGGATTTTGGATGTAGTTGACTTGTCATGTATGGTCTGTTGCACCCTAGCCATTGTACATGTAGGGGCACATCATTTTAATTTTACTCATTTTTATAATTTCTGGGATTGAGTTTCATAAATATTGCATGGTTCGGATCATTTTCCAGCCATAGTTCTCCCACAATTGGATGCGATCTTCTATTTTCCACCCATACATGCAACATCTTTCTAGGATGGGTGAAGAGTATACCTGGTTCAGAAGAGGTGTGGTTCTCCATATCAAATTTTTCTTTGCTTCTTTCTTTCCTTCCTTCTCACAGATCCCTCAACCTATTCAATGTGGATTCTAGCTATTTATGTTAGTGGAGGTAATGTACTATATCAGAAGTTATAATTTTCCTACACTGAAAATATATTTCCAATAGGTACTTATGTCCGCTCACACTTCCCACTGAAAACTGGTGCTTCCAACTTCTGTCAAAACTCGAAGTGATAGTTCGGTAGAATTGAATAAAGGAATATGTTGCATTCTTATTGGTGGGTGGTTGAGACATGATGATTTGCATGAGAAATGCATTGGAATTAGTCAATTCCAATGGAGGGAAGATAGCAGGTTTGTGGCATGCATAAAAACGTTTTTGGCATATGGAGGGCAGCATTGAACGAGAATAGCTAACTTAACTGTTAGCTTCTGTCAAGAAGAGATTGACATGGACTCGCAGAATTCACTGATAGTGCTAAAAGACACTGATGCTCAATGTTAAAATAGGCTGATAAGATTAAAAGGCACAAAACATTTTGCCAGGTTCATATGTGAGACTAAAAGATAATGACAAAATTCAGGAAGCTCACACTTGAGGCTAGAACATAATGAGAAATAATCATATAGCTTACTATCTACATAGAGGGCTGTAAAAATTCAAAAGCTTGTACTTAAGACTAAAATATTCTGATGAATGTTTATAGAGTTCACAACTGAGACTAAATGATGCTGACAAAACACTGAAACATTTCTTCCTGAGACTAGAAAACTTAGAGATGACAAAATTTTTATTATCAAGATTAGGAGTAAAAAACACTTGTTGGATTTTCTTATTGGGTGGGTATTTTTACACACCCCTCTATCATGACCATCCATTAATTTTTCTCTTAATTTCATCCTTTCCTCTTCTATATGAATTGATAATTTTCATATCCCTACAATGTCAGGTTTCCTGCTTCCTTCCCCTGATGCTCATTTCCATTGGTTGGGGATGTGGTTCAATCTGTAGGAGGCTTTGGGACTATGGTCTCCAGTCAAACGGTGTTATTCCCTTCACATTCTGGCACTTCATCCAGTCCAATGTGCTTTTGTTCACTCTTTTCATTTTGTCAGGATTTAATTTAAGTTTCATTTGGATTATTCGACTGTGGTGGCTTCTATCATTTGCCGAGGGGGACGTTCTTTCTTGTTCCTTTTGTGGTAGACAGTGGATCTCCTTTTTTTAACCCATGCACTTCATGTGCATCTCCTGGAGGGTCGTGTTCCAGGTTTTTGTCCTCATTACCTTTCCAGTCCCTAGCATGTTCTCCCTTGGAGTGATCTCTCGATTCTCAAAATTTTTTATGGCTCTACATCCTGTGGGGTACTCCTCCACAAGAAGATTTTGAATTTTTTTACCAGTTCCCAAGTTGGTCTCTAGTTCATCATCTCCTTGCCCTGGCTGTCGATATGTTCATACAGGATTACATTCAGTTTCTCACATTAGTTTTTGTCCTTCCATCAGTTTTTTTCCCCCAAAATGTTTGTTCATTCATATCACTCCAGTTCAGGTCTTTCTAATTGATTTCCTAGCCGACACAAATCTGGGTTTCTTTTGCTATGGATCGTTTTATTTACCTCCATTTCGTGGTTCAGGTGATATATTCCTTTCAACTTTTCTGTTTCTTACCATCTTCCACATTTGTTCTAGATGACCTTGTCGGTCTAGTACATGATTTGGGTTGCTTCATTGTTTTCAAGGTTTTCTATTGAATCCATCTCCCATGATTTCCTTTCCTTTATCCTTGGAGGTACTTCATCTGTTGAGCACTGGGACCACTACTCGTACGTTAATCTCCCATTGTTTACTTTGGGTAGCTATTTCTTTTTTTAGGGGGTACCATCATCCACATAATATATATATATATAAATGATTATATAACCATTCAGTTGAGAGTAGGTGGTGGTGTTCTACTGGTGTAGATGACAAGATAACCTGTACTATGTAACATGGGAGTGAGCCATCAAAATTGCAGTTCACCCCTTCGATTGGGATCCTTCATCCTACCCTCATGTGGATGTTGGTTCCCAGTGGCTGGGTTTTGAATTTCGTGTTGAATCAATCAACATAAGTCTTTACACATGTATTACAGATGTCTATTCCTTTACTCATTTCTCATCTTGTTACTCCATCCTTATAGTGGGTTACGGTGGAAGTACTTGCAGATTAATATGGTTCTTCCCTTTCTGCTATACCCCGATGATTATTATTCTGAGGATGTTCCTGCGCTTGGGGTGGTTCCTGTCATTATATATTTTAATGAGATGGTTTACATTACGCAGACATCTTTTTGATGTCAGGTTCCCGGATCTATTGTTCACTTTCTCACATTGTTATAAAACAACATATGTTCGTTCATGGATTGAGGGGTACGAGATTCCCTCCGGTCTTATGAACTTGAGCTGAAGACAGTATGATCTACTTTTCTACCACCACCAGATGGCTGGTTTTTTGGATTGTAGTTGACTTACTGACAGTATGATCCTCATCCTACTTCCGTGTATACCTGGTTCAGAAGTGGTGCGATCTCTCATGTATGATCTTCGACTCCAGAGATATCTTTGGGAGCATTCTTGAGGGGTACGAGATTCCCTCCGGTCTTATGAACTTGAGCTGAAGACAGTATGATCCACTTTTCTACCACCACCAGATGGCTGGTTTTTTGGATTGTAGTTGACTTACTGACAGTATGATCCTCATCCTACTTCCGTGTAGATGTCAGTTCCAAGAGGCACGAGTTTTGGATCAAGGTGATTTGCCATGTATGGTCTGTATCGCCCTAGCCACTCTACACCTATGAGCACATTCTTTAATCTTACCCACTTTTATGTTTTCTGTGATTGAATTTCATAATGTTCAGATATAATGTATGGTTCAGATCACTAACCGGCCATAGTTCTCTCCCATTTGGATGTGCTCCTCCAAATTTCCGCCCACATATGTGACATCTTTCCACAATGGGCAAAGAGTATACCTGGTTCAGAAGTGGTGCGATCTCTCATGTATGATCTTCGACTCCAGAGATATCTTTGGGAGCATTCTTGAGACACGTATGAAGGATGCTTTTATCTTTCCCTCACACCAGTCCTTCTACTTATTCAATGTGGGATTCTAGCTATTTATGTGAGATGAGGTAATGTACTGTATCAGAAATTATAATTTTCCTATACTAAAAATGTATTTCCTCTCACACTTCCTACCCTTCCACTCCACTGAAAACTGGTGCTTCCATTTTCTGCCAAAACTTGAAGTGATAGTTTGGTAGAATTGAATAGAGGGAGTCACATGCATCAAGAGAGTATGTCACACTCGTTGGTGGAGGTTTGTTGCATGATGATTTACATGCAAGATGCATTGGAATCAGTTAATTCCAGATGTGGGAGATTCAAGGCTTGTGGCATGTGCCAAAACTTTTTTTGCATATAGAGGGCAGCCCTGAATGAGAATAGCTATTTATGTGACAGGAGGTAAGTACCTATTGGAAATACATTTTCAGTATAGGAAAATTATAACTTTCATATTTCAACCACATCACTTTTGGCCATTATTTTGAATATGCAGCACAATATTGTCCAGAAATTACTTTTCTTATCTATCTTTCAGCACAGTTTGTATAAAAATTTAATTTCAGAACATTAATATCTTATTTTTTTACACAAGTTCTTACTACTTTAAGTTTGCTACTTTTAGAAGTAAAATTGTGTTGATGTTTTTGTATAGTTCTACTTTGTTTTTATATTTTTTTCTTTCCAGGAGCTTCAAATCTTTCACCTATTACAAAGGTTGATCACCTCCTCCTTCATCGTGGTGCACCTGGAGTTGGTTCTAGGCCTTTCAGATCAGCTACTCCAAGTCCATTGGTTTGCCCTGGAAGCAGCTTGGGTCAACTTGGTCCATAACAGTATATACAACAAGCAGGTATTTGCAACAACAACTACCTGTACTACAGGTCTCCATTATCCCTAATGTAAGAATGGGATTTCTTTGGTATTGAAGTAAAAGGATCCTTGCTTTGCTGTTGAACAAAGCAGTAGATTCTGCTTACCAGAATCAGCTGGGGAGAATTTCTATCTTCAGATCAGCACACAAGGAGTTTTGTGAAATTTGACTATTGAAGCAAAATTGCCTTGTTTTTCTTTAAATTTTATTTGTAAATGTAAGCAATTTTGCCATTGGACAAGACACTGTGTCACAAGAGACATAATGAGGTGTGGTTACTTTAGATATCCTTTTTTTACTACGTGACAAAGGACTTGTTTTAATTCAAATACAAAGATTAGTCTGCCATATCACATGATAAAGATCTACTTGTAGTTAAATCCAGAGTACACTAATTGTTACTTTTTTCCTTGAGATACAAGTTTTGTAAATATTAATCCTATGACAACTACTGTATAAAACTTCACATACCCCAAGTGACTGCACATTTTTATATCACAGCCCATTCAGAGCAGTGCATGTGTGTCAGCTTTCACAAAAAAAAAATATGTAACCCAGTGTTTAGTGAGTTTATTGATATAACTTTCTATGGAAGATTCACGGTTCTCCAGCTGGTAAATTGTCAGAAGAGCACTTTATTGGCTGATTCTGTCTCCTTGAATACAAACTTAAGAAACTAAGCTTCCTGAATCAATTTGTAAATATGCATTGATTTTGTGTATCCTGATGTCATTCCTTTTTTTGCACGTCTCAGATGATTGTTGAGATTCTTCACAAAAAACAATGTCATTTCTGTAAATAGTTTAAAATAAGTGATTAAAGAATATTTTCTTTAAGTTATTTATGATTGTGTTAGTCTTTTGTGTATTAATGGTTTTATTTTTCTTTCACTGTAATGTTTGTGTAAGTGAGACTTAATAAAGCTCTTGAATTAAAATATAAGCTCAACTGATGTTTTTAATTGTCTCAAATCACTGAGCAAAAAATGTGTCGATAAGAATCTTTATTTTTGAAATTAAAAACAATCCTTTAAGATGGGTTTTGTTTTCAATTCAAACACACAAAAATTGTTGTTTTGTTGTTTTTTACTTTTCACTGCTATACTGCAGATGGTCAAAGAACTGATAGTAGTGATGTTATGAGTTTGTTTTTTAAATAATTGCAAATTTTGATTTAAAATGTATTTTTAAAAAGTAGAAAGAGAAATATATAAATCAAGCCTTTGAATACATGTTTTTTCATTTAAAGAAAGTTCAGTATCTTTATGTTTATCTTGTAAAGATAAAAACACCAAAAATTTTAATAAAGTAAATAATGAAATGTGATAGGTTATAAGGAGTGTATTTACAAAGGAGAAAACATGTGAACAATTTTGATATATATAATTCAAAACTGCATACTTTTATTTGCTACAGTTCAAAACCTTTACATTGCTTTTATAGTCAGTATAGAAGTAAAAAAAACTACTTTAATAATATTCTTTAGGTCTTTCATAGCCTATGAATAGCTTTTCTGTGAACACTTATCAGCTCAGTAGGGCATTATCTAATACCTTATTTAATAGAAAATAATATAACATTTTTACTCGCTGAATCACAATAATAATGGTGTTTGCAAAACAAGCACAAGAAAGTTGTTTTTATCACTGCTATTACAGAACTTTTGTTAACTGTAATGGCCAGGTTAGACTGGGAACCATCTTTGACGTTTCTGTATAGTGATTTATTGAAAACCACCTATATAACATTTTAATCATTGAAGTACATTATTGTTATTAAAATCATTTATAGTGTAAGAATGTATTTTAAGCTTAGAGACCAGGTCAGGATATGAAATGGCTGTGTTTGATACTTATAGATACTGGATGGAAATTAACTTGACATAACTATGTCAAAGTATAATAGATTTTTGTTAACGTGTAATAAGACCATTTAATCTTTAAAAAAATAAGCATTTTTATGTTTTGATGAATGTAAAAAGAACAAATAAACTAAAATATTTAATATTCCCGAGATTTGTGGAGGGTTGATCACAAGTGATAAGCATACTTTTCAGGTCCCTTCCAGTCCTTCGAACATCTCCCACTATTGCTGATAATAGTCATTCTAATGGCCATGATTAGGAACTATTGCTTAAAATCTCAATTTTCACTTAGAAAAATTCTGCAAGGAACAGCAAGATCAATCTTAGACTACACAGTTTGTCAGATTTTCCATAGGACCTTCAGTATCCATTGATGTGAGTTTCTATGACCACGTGTACAAGGACAATATTCTGCAAGGAACAGCAAGATCAATCTTAGACTACACAGTTTGTCAGATTTTCCATAGGACCCTCAGTATCCATGGATGTGAGTTTCTATGACCACATGTACAAGGACAAAATTCTGCAAGGAACAGCAAGATCAATCTTAGACTACACAGTTTGTCAGATTTTCCATAGGACCTTCAGTATCCATGGATGTGAGTTTTTATGACCATGTGTACAAGGACATTTTTTTAACTATCTTGTACAAAGTATTGGATGGGATGTGAGCAATCTTGTTATAAATATGAAATTTTTGCATGTGATGAGATACACATTAGGTGATTTTACATAATCATATGGGTTTACTGATTTGTTTTGTTGTCAAAGCTATTTATTATGTTATACCCACTTCAAAGTGGCCATTAATGACTCACACTTTTCACCTGTAGTATTTCAATATAAAAATATTATTTCTTGGAAAAGAATCAACTATAGAGTTACTGTTGTTAAACGAGTCACCTCTGATACCACAGCATGACTTTCTATTACTGTGAACAAATTTTTTTGATTAAGTGCAATTAACACTTTGTGGTGGATGTACTAAGATAAAATTATATTTATAAGATTAGAATAAAGTATAGAAGGTAATTTTGAAATTCTCAGGTGATAAATATACAGGAGTCACAAACAATGAGTAGTTGTAAATGAATGGTCAATGTATCATTAGTACAATAAATTAATACAGCAAATACAAAAGAAAGCTGCATTAGTTGTACAGTATTCTGTATTTGCTTTAGATAGAGCAGTATGTTTTGTCTTTATACTACCATATATTTACCAGTGTTTGAGTGTGAAATATTGTTGTAAATATCCTGTAATACTCAACAGTTAATCCAAGTTTATTTTTGTTTGGCCTTCTCAGTGTTCATATAAGTCCATACAGCCTTAATAATATTCATATTTGGAAACTTTATGGTTGGGACTGTTTTATCTCCCCCCCTCTCCAGTATATCTTGTGCCTGAAGGAATTATTGGCTTAAATGCAGCTTACTTGTATTGATTCTCATTGTTGATTAACAGTTTGAATTTGGATTAATCTGTAAAGAGCATCTTCCTCCAGTTTTCATCATTCCATTGTTTAAATTCTGGTGCCCATTTCTGTGTTTTGGTTTTGTTGTCTTCCTTAAACAGTGATTTTCAACCTCCTACACATCTATTGGGATCACTTCATGCTAATGTGTATCTTACTGATCTGGAGGTAACATTCACACCTGTTATTAAGCTAGATCATTAATGAGGCATCTACTAGATTGTTTATTATCACATAAAGAGTATACACAGAACTTCTTAACATTACTTTTAAACTATCTTGTGCTTTCTACTTCCATTGCTTCTATCAACAGTACTGGTTTCACCACTCTTTGATATTTTCATATATCTCATATTGAAATATGAAATTTCATCTCAGTCTGTTCCAAAGAGCAGACTTCATCAGCCTAACGTTGATTTATGCCTATTTGTAATGCGACATTTTGTTCTGGAAGTCGTAAGTACATTCACCACACTACTGCTGGGAATGATATGCTTTTGTGACATTGTCTAATTGACAGATAATCACATTGTAAACCATCAGCACATGAGCTTACTCTGGCACAGTTTAATTCATACTGTTGATGGGTAGCAATTTCATAATATTTGCATTTTTTACCCATTTTATCCACTGGTTCCATTACTGTATATTCTTGATTTCTAGGCACTAAAAATAAAATTTGTGTAGCAGATAACTATAGTTTTGTCAAGCCTAAATGTGTCTTGACTTTAGTTAAACTTTTTCATTAGTTTGATATATGATAAACAATAATAACTATTAAAACTTCATAGAAGCTACTGTTAAAAGCTTTTTATTATTAAAGCAGACCTGCCTTTTTATAAAGCATTATCATCATTTATAAAACATGAAATTAACGATGTATTAAAAAATGGTGTCATGAAATACTTATACCCTCAGTACGGTAGTGTTTCACCTTTATTAAAATGTATCGAGCTATGAAGACTAATGTGATAAGTGAATATGTTACATTAAGGATCGAGGATGTAAAAAAAGGGTAACTTTATGACAATTTTTATCAATTGACTTCTCTTTGTATCATTTGCAAAGTTTGAAAATATTTTTATTATACCAAGAAGCACCGAAGAGAGCTGCGACAAATTTTGCAGTCAGGAATATTATCTAGAAAGACTATTAGTAGTTATACGTTTGTCTGTCTGTTCAAGACATTTCTGTATACAACAGTCAAATGTTTCATCATCATAGCTTTATAAACTACATATCTTAGTCCAAGTATATTTCTTCTAAGTTATCTTTGCGTAGTACCATTACGAGTTGAACTAAATAGCGTGTAAAATATGCCCCTCAGTGGCACAGCAGTAAGTCTACAGACTTATAACGCTAGAAATCGGGTTTCGATACCCGTGTTGGGCACAGCACAGATAACCCATTGTGTAGCTTTATGCTTAACTACAAGCAATTTATAAAATACAAAACTTGCTTGATTTAATAGGCCAAGCTGGTTTTCACCGTAAAATAAAATGTGACATGTCAACAGTAAAACTGTCGAACCGTGTCATTGAAAAATTTTCCACATTTAGCTGTTATAAGGTGTTTACCTAGTTTTGCCATTTCTGTGTGTCTAATTGAAGATTACTTATCTTTAGATCTTACAGCAAGTGCTTTATCATACTTTCAGAAGAAGAAGAACGTTTTCACTTGATAGTTGAATAGATATAGTTTGTTAAAAGTACTGAATTGATGTAGTTCCATAACACTGAAAAAAGTGTTTTTGAGATGGTAAATTAAACCAATAATGAAAAATGCAAGAAACATCAATTTTTATCGCAGAAGTTATAACTGGTTTGCATTTGTATTTACACTAACATGATTTAAAATATAAAACAGGTGGGACTGTTGTTAAATCTCAAAATACAATGTTGACAGTTATTAACGTACCTTATAGTAATATATATAACTTCAGGCCTAATAAAGTACTTATATTCTCAACACAATTTAGACATCCTGTAATAATTTCTTACTTTAGTATAAGAACATCAAACAGTTTACCTCCATGAACACCGCAATAACTCAACATAATAATGAGAGACAAGCTACCCGAGCGGACAAAAAAAGAAGGTAATTTCTTAAATAAATAAACGACGACTTACGACGTTAATTTCTAGTATGTAAAACGTTGTTTACAGCTTTTTACGTTTTGATTTGCCACCCGGTGCTTTAGTGCTTGTCGTAACCTGCAGAGGGCACAGCACAGATAGACCGTTATGTAGTTTTGCTCGTAACGACAAACAAGCAAACATAGTGATATTTAACACCATCAGTCATTAACTAGAAATACGTGTCATTCACCCTAAATATGTAAGCTTTTAATTGACGTAATTACTCTTCAAACGTGCTGTTAACACAAACTACAAATAATCAGTGTTATTTTAAAGACAACATCTGTTATTAGACGCTGAACTCATTACTACCTATTAATAAAATTTATTTCTTTTATGTTTCTAAACTAACAATTATATTTGATAACATTTCAGATGGATTTAATGAGTTTCCTCCAGAAAGATATTTGTTTTCCATTTTGAAAAACGGTGAATAAATTTAGTGAAAAATACACACACTGA